TTTCAAGATGGGATGAGGTTCACAATTTTGCAACTTCTGTAAATTGCCCTTTGCTATAGAGCACCACTTCGTCCTCTGGAACAGAACTAGAATTCGCTTCGGATAAAAATTGCTCCCCTGCAAAAAGCGACGGCCCTCTCTGCAGGGTCAGTGCCAACTCAACACTCCCCTGCACTGATCATGCTCGGTCGTCGTAGAGGAAATTGACCAGTCTATACCACGCACCAGAGTAATTGAGGATGACAGGAAGAAAACACACAGAAATCAGGCACACATGTATTGCAATGCAATTCTTCACACACCACCACCACACAAGTACTCTTCGTCACGAGGACTCTTTGTACTGCTCCCCTTCGTCGAGTGTGGATCGCTCTTTTGCGGATCGCTCAGGTGGAGACCCTAACGAGCTTTCAAGTCCAACTTCCCCCCTCGCCGACTCTCTGGAATGAGATATTGCAGCATACATCCCCAAGCTCTTACCATGCCAAGGACAGGCTTCTCTTTGAAATGCACCTCGTAAGGAGTTACCCCTGATGGCAGAAAGGAATGTTCCAAACAATTTCTCACCCAAACAGCTTACAGAGCTGCAAGGTGCCACCAATGGTGGGGAACCACCGTGTGTAGAAGCATCGTTCTAGTAGCTTTGACGACGGTGCGCATTTCATGTTCCGCCATCCCGTTCCGCTGCGTCGTATAGGGGCAGGTGAGGTCGTGCTCAATCCCTTGCACTATGAGAAATTCGACAAATTTACTTCAAAAAAATTCACCACCTCGATCTGAGCGGAGAGCCTTCATCAAAGCCTCACATGACCTCTTTGCACGGAGAAGCCACTTTTGGAAAACGTTCAGAGCATCGCTTTCTGTGCAATAGGGTTGATTCAGAAGTAGCGATATTTATATCATTGAGCAGAAGAAAGTAGCGGCTACCATCTTTTGCAAGAACTTGCAAGGGACTGCAAAGATCGATGTGCACTACCCCAAGCACCTTCTGCTCCTCACTCTCATGCACTTTCTCTTCTCTTCTCACAAACAAGCATTGTCCCTTCTCACAAACATGCAATTTCTCTTCCCTTCTCACAAACTGCCATTTCTCTTGTCTTCTAACTATCCTGCACTTTCTCTTCTATTCTGTACAAACCAGACCTTTCTCTTCTGTTCTCACAAAGCTGCTCTTTTTCTTCTCACAAACCTGAACTTTCTCTTCTCACAAACCTGCCCTTATATTTCTCTTCTCCCAAACTTGTTCTTTCTCTTCTCTCAATCCTGGACTTTCTCTTCTCTGACAAACCCTGCACTCCAATGTGTTTCCCCTCTCACGGACCTCTTTAAGTTTCATAGTGTCACGATGTCATTTCCCCACTTTTTTTGCAAGCTAAAATGCCATGCCACTAGTGTATTTGTGGCCTCAAAACTGTCCCTCCCATTGTATCCTCACACACGACATTTCGTATGTCCCTTATTACAGAATCATCCTACTTGTGTGCCATGCCTCTAAGTTTCATAACTTACCCACTTTTTTTTGCAAACTAACATGCCATACCACTAGTGTATTTGGGGCCTCAAATCTGCCCCTCCCATTGTATCCTCCCACACGACATTTCGTGTATCCCTCACTTCAGAATCGGCTTACTTGTGTGCCATGCCTCTAAGTTTCATAACTCTCATTACCTTCGCTCGTGGCCAAAACTTAACTCAACCGTTCTAAAGTGTTTGTTACCAATCATGTCACCCACAACGAATCACCAAAACGCATCAGCGTGAACCTGTCGCACCTCCTTTGCCATCGCCTATTTTTTTGCTGTACTTGTGCATTAGTGCGGGCGGCAGTGGTGCCGGTGATGTAAGGTGCCAAAGCAGATCGGGTGGCGGCTCGGGAAGCAGCCCGAGTCGTGATACAAGGAGCAGTCACGACTGTAGCACGAGTGGCAGCGGTAGATGGAACATGTTGAGAGGCACGGCAAAAAGCATGCACGGTAGCACATGGTTGGAACATGGGACAAAACGACGTGCGCAAACATAATAATGATAATAATAAAAAAAAATAAAAAAAAATGTGGACATGCATGGAGGGTAGAACACATGGGGAAGGGGGAAAGAATGGGCATGTGTTATATTTGGGAACACGTGAGGTTGTTCCAAACTGGGCTAGACCACATATCCCCTGAATTCCCAGTTTGTCCCTCTCTACAAACCTTCTCATCCTCCTCTCTACCAAACTTCCCATCCTCCTTTCTACCAACATTTCCATCCTCCTTTCTGCTAGCCTTCTCATCCTTCTCTCCGCCAACCTTCCCATCCTCCTCTCTTCTAACCTTCTCATCCTCCTCTTTGCTAAGATTCCCAACCCCATGCGAAGTGTTATTCACTTTGCCAACCTCCTCTCCCACAAAAAACCAACCTTTCTTCTCTCCGTATATTCTTTTATGCATGTGCGTTGCTAGCCTCCCCTCACTTCCTGCCACCATCTCTCTCCCCAAATTCTCTGTCAACTTTATCCCCTCTGCCTTCTTGATCCCCTAAGCATACCTCATACCATCTGCCCACCTCATACCATCCGACCACAAAATCGCCTCCCTCTGTCAACAAATCCCATCCTAGTCAACGCAAGGCTTCCTCTCCCCCTTCTTTGCCAACCTTCTCACTCCCTTTTTGCCAACATTCCCCCCCTTCTACCAACCTCTCAAACTGTTTTCTGCGAAGTATCACCAGATATCCCAACCATGTTTCCCCATCTGGCAACATGCCCTCCCGAATCCCTGCCAAGCTTCCTTCCTTCCTCGCCGCCAACCTCTCCCCCCCCTCCCATCCCCCCTTCCTTGCCTACCTCCCCTTAGCTCCCTCCATTGGGGTGGGGGTTTCAATTACCTAGGAACTCAATAACATGTTGACCAGTTGGTGCAGCAAAAGGATAGGCATGAGAGGACGACGCACGAGGACCAGCACCAGCACCAGCACCTGCAATAGCTGTGGAGCTAACTTTTGTACTAGTCGAGGCACAAACGCCTATAGTAGTAGGAGGAGCAGTAAGTGGTTCTGCAGGAGTAGCAAGAGGGGTGACTAGAATAGGTTTAAGCAGAGGAGGAGCACGAGGGCCGCCTAGAGGTGTGACAACGGGAGCAGGTGCAGGACTGCTTGCAGCTGAAGCCTCCCTCCCTCCCCCCTCCTCCCCCCTCCCCCCCATCGCCTCCCGTTGACGTTGCATGCACAAGCTGAGCCATGGAAAACAATACACGAAGAAGAGAGGAGGACGGGGGGGGGGGGGGTGGGGTTGGGGAGAGAGGGGTGGGAGAGGGAGGGAGGAGGAAAGAGGAGGGGAAGAGAACACGAGAAGCATACAAGGTTGCATAGACCCAAGAGTGGAAATTGAAATCCTTATTGCAACAGTAAGAGTGACATGCATGTCTTGCATTTCTTCAAGGATAAATGCTTACTGATAACACTATGCACTTAGAACTGAAAGCATCTCAGTAGATGAATCTCGAAAAATGCACCTATTAATAGCTCCCAGCATTGGGCACAAATGGAGATTCTTATAGCTTTTATCACGCAAAGCACTCACAAAAATCCCGGTTCAGATTGAGCTCACATGATCGGCGTCGTATTTGATGAGAGCTCTCGCGACGATGCGAGCTACCCATTTAGCTGAGTAGAAATGCCCTTGGAAGCAGAATGGTCGAGTGCAGGAGACTTGATATGACGTTCATGTATGGCGTCGTGCAACAAAATAGTATTATTGCATGACTGTAGACATAACCAACTCAGCAAGAAAAACCGGAACCATGGTGGTGGGGAGTAGGGTCTTAAGTGGGGTAAGGAGGGTTGGATAACGACTTTCATCGCTTGCATGGAGAAACATATCTCGGGCTTCCATCATCTGTTGCCGCAACCTCTCCCTGTGCTCCCAGATCTTCCCTTGCCGGAGCATTTTGGGGCTTACTGCTAGTAAGGCGCAGGCTGGTTGGCGAGGCGCTCTGCTGACTGGAAGGGCACGCGCTAGTAGGACGTGCCCCGGTTGGTTGGCGAGGCATGTTGTTGGTGAGCGCGTTTCGCTGGTGGGGCGCACGTGGCTGGCTGCTGGCTGCTGGCTGACTGGAATTGTTGCATTGATTTATAAAAGACTGCCTCAGCAGAGGATTGAACTCTGGACCTTTCGCTTACGAAGCGAACGCACTACCACTGTGCTACTGGGGCGATGTTCTAGATTTGAACAAAATATATTCAACCGTTTTTACAACACTACAGCGTGTCTGTCCACATCTTTACCTGATCATTTATGGCGACATCCACTGCGCGCGCGAAGCTGAAAATCCGGAGCGTGCCGAAAGCCAGCTCCGATGGACCGTCGTCGCCGAGCGGCGCTTCCAAGGCGGACGCCATGCGGTAATGCGCACGTCGTAATCCCCTTACCGTAATGCACGCGTCGTAGTCTCTCACCGTAATGCACGCGTCGTGTCTCCTCACTCTCGTGACGTCGAGACTCCAGGGAATGCGCGTCGCGATGCCTGAAGACAGTCCCGTAGGACCAGTCAAGTCGGTCGGTGCCAAACAATGCCCCAATCAGGATTTTCAGTCGCCTGAAAATTGTCCAATAAAGGATTCGAGTCGTCTCAGAATGGTTTGGGTAAACGAGTAGGGTCTGGACGGTAAGGCGTGCGCGCTGTCGTCGCCTGGTAACCGGGTTACATGTCGACTCGACTAGCCGGGTAGCTGAGTTACAGACCGACTCAAAGTAGCGCTTGTGCCGAGCGCTGAAGCCTCTAATTCCAAGTCAGCAGTCCTGTCTAACATTCGCGACAGCCTTGCGCTTCGCCTGCTCTCACCTTTCGTCCTTTGAGTCTCCATCTTCCAACTTGCCCCTTCCGCCTTCCACCTTCTGTCTTTCCCACTCGTCCACGTGTCCCCTTGTTCACCTGTCCACGTGTCCCTCCCCTTGTTCGCGTGTCCCCATGTCCACTCATCCACGTGTGCACACGTGTCTCACTGTGCGGACCTGCAGGGACATGTATGGCTTCACGCTCCAAAGCCAGTACACGGATATCTACAAGACGTACGCGCGCATTTACCAGGTGCGTTGCGTTGTGATGGGCTTTAACTCACTTGGTTGGTAGGTAGGTAGTGCCTTATCATGCTCGAAAGCCAGTACACGGACATCTACAAGACGTACGCTCGGATTTACCAGGTGTGCCCCTGACGCCCCCACATGAGGTGAGTTGCCTTGCTCCGGTCCGCTCAGCACACCCCAGAGCCAGTACACGGGCATCTACAAGACGTACGTGTCTCATCTACCAGGTGTGTTGTGAGGGGGCTCTGCTCTCACGCTCCAGGTGCGTTGTGCGTTGTTGTGAGGAGGCCTAACCCGCCCCACCAGGAGAACACGCTCCTGAGCCAGCAGCACACGGACATCTACACGCGATGCACTCTCGCATCGCATCCACCAAATGCGTTTCGATGGGATTCTGCTCACTCGGGAAGCAGTGCGTTTCCACCTGCTCCAACGCTGAAATGAAAACACCACCACTCCACATACAGCCCAATCATGCATGCATCCCACCCACCCACCTCACCCTACCTACCTCACCCAACCCCACTGCAACTCACCCCACTCCACACCACCCCCCACCCACCCCACCATGCCCCGTCCAGGAGGAGGAGCGGTCAGACCGATGGGACAAGTTTCAGTTTTGAAGGCCATACCTTTAACTGCCAACCCGCCCTAATCCCCGCCGAGCCCAATCCCCACCCCACCCAACCCCACCCCGCCCTAACCCAACCCACCTCACCCCACCCCACACCACACCCCACCACGCCCCGTCCAGGTGGAGGAGGAGGAACGGTCAGACCGATGGGACAAGTTCTTGCAGCACTGCGACCTCTCCTTCCACGAACCTTCCTCTTCCACCCGAACACCAGCAGCAGCAGAGGCAGCAGAGGCAGAGGCAGCAGGAGATGCGTCTGTTTCTGCTTCCCAAGCGGGGAGGGGAGAAGGAGAGGGGGTGGAGGGAGAAGGAGGAGAAGGAGGAGAGGGAGAAGGAAGGACAGAAGGAGCCGCAGAAGGAGGGGTAGGAGGAGGAAGAGACGGAATAGGAAGAGAAGGGGGAGATGGAGAAGGAGAAGGGGGAAGGGCAGGGGGAGGAGATTGGCCGTTAGACAGTCCAGCTTCGGCCCCCACCACCCCTGGAAACTTCCAGGAAGTGAGGCTGGCAGGTGTAGAGTTGACTGTAGACCCTGTGCTTAGAAGGGGGTCCGGGGGAGATGCGAGGTTCAGAGAGCAGTTTCGGGAGGAGCTGGTGATTATAGAGAGGGTGCTTAAAGGGAGAAAGCTGTGGAGGAGGAGGGGAGGGGAAGGGGGTGGGAAGGAGGGGAGCGCGGGTGGGGAGATTGGTGGTGGTGTGGTTAGACGGGGGGATAAGGCTGCTGGTGCTGGTGCTGCCGGTGCTGTAGCGGTTGTGGATTAGTCATGGAGAGAAAGCAAGTGTGGAAGGAGATGCGGGAAGTGTGAGCATAAGTGTGAGTGGAAGTGAGAGTGTGAGTGGGAGAGAGAGTGATAGGGAGAGTGAGGGTGGGGGGCCAGGAAATGAGGGACGGGTTGATGATCAAGCAAAGGAAGGGTCTGAGGAGGCACAGAGTTCTTGTATGGTCTCTAGTGCGGTACAGAGCGGTGTAGATAAGGGAGAGGCGGAGGGAGGCAATGGTGCTACAGAAGGAAAAGGAGAAACCCACAATGCTGTGGCTGATAAGGATGCTTCTTGTAAGGAGGATGTTGGTAAGGAGAATGCTTTGAAGGAGACAGAGAGTGGAGGCAAAGAGGGGGAAGGCAAGGCTGTTTCCAGTACAGGAGCAGCAGATGGGAAGACTGGAGACGAAGGGAAAGAGGGTCTGAAGGCGGCTGAAGAGAAGAATTTGCAAGATGGTGAGGAGGGTGGGGGAAAGAAGACATCTGTGGAAGGTGGTGGTGATGGTGAGGGCGGGGCGAAGGTGGCGAGTGGAGTGGAGGGAGAAACCAAGGTTGAGGTTAAGGGTAAGGGTTCAAAACCGAAAGCAGAGGAGGAAGAGGAGGAGGAGGAGGAGGAAGAAGAGGAGGAAGAGGAGGAGGAGGAGGAAGAGGAGGAAGAGGAGGAAGAGGAGGAAGAGGAGGAAGAGGAGGAAGAGGAAGAAGAAGAAGAGGAAGAGGAGGAGGAAGAAGAATACGAGGAGGTGGAGACAGAGGAGGAGGTGGAGGAGGAGGAAGAAGAGGAGGAGGAGGAGGAGGAGGAGGAGGAGGAAGAGGAGGAGGAAGAAGAAGAGGAGGAAGAGGAAGAGGAAGAGGAGGAGGAAGAGGAAGAGGAGGAGGAAGAAGAGGAGGAAGAGCAGAAAAAACCAAAAGAAGCAGGAAAAACAGGGGATGGGAAGGAGAGAGAGGAAAACAACAAGACCACAGCTTCATTTGCAAAGGATAGCTCCTCCGGAAGCCCCTCTGTGGATAAGTCAGGAGACAAGTCAGGAAGCAAGTCAGGAGACAAGTCAGGAGTCAAGTTAGATCCGGAAGGGGAGAAAGAGGAGAAAGGACCTACTGCAGCGCAACCAAAAGCAGATGGAGCAGCAGCAGCAGCAGCAGCAGAAGTAGCAGCAGCAGCAGAAGTAGCAGCAGCAGGAGAAGTAGCAGCAGCAGCAGAAGTAGCAGCAGCAGGAGAAGTAGCAGCAGCAGCAGAAGTAGCAGCAGCAGGAGGGCAACAGAAAGAGCCAAGTAGCCCATCCAAACAGAAAGAGCCAAGTAGCCCATCCAAACCTGCCAAGCTATCAAAGCTGGCGAGTGTTTTGTCTCCTGCTGCCACGGCCGCTGCTGTGGAGGCGCAGAGAGAAGCAGCAGAGGCCGCTGCTGCTCTCGAAGCCGTGGCTAATAAGACGCTGAAAGCTGCGAGGGAGGCACAGGGGGGGGCAGGAGGGGTGGAGGGAGCGGGGGTGGACGCACAGAGAGAAGCAGCAGAGGCGGCTGCTGCTCTTGAAGCCGTGGCGAATAAGACACTCAGAGCTGCGAGGGAGGCACAGGGGGGTGGGGGAGGGGGAGGAGAGGAAGGGAGGGTGGGAGCAAAGGACGTGCGAGTAACAGAGGGCGACGGGGGAGAGAAAGGGGGAGAGGGGAAGGTTGATGGAGGGGAGGAGAAGGGGAAGGGGGAAGTTGCGGAGGGGGAGGGGAGGGGCCAGCAGGAAAAGCAGGAAGGCACGGAGAGGAGTGGCGGTGAGAAGGAAGGAGATGAAGCGGTGGGGGGGAAGCAGCAAGGAGATGCAGAGGGGAATGGGAGAGAGGCGGAAGGAGGTGTGGGAGATGCGAAGGGGGATGGGAGAGATGCAGAGGGGGGTGGGGGAGAGGCCGAAGGGAAGGGGAGTGCGATGCGGCAGGCGTTCAACACAGCGGGGTTTCCGATGCTTGGGAGGGTGCCGTGGGGGCGAGAGCTGCACTCCCTGGTGATGGGCGGCGTGCCCATGAACCTGCGCGGCGAGGTGAGTGGATAGATGGGGGCGAAGGGGGTGGGGAGTATATGAACCAGAGAGAATGGGAGAGTGCCGTGGGGGCGAGAGCTGCACTCCCTGGTGATGGGCGGCGTGCCCATGAACCTGCGCGGCGAGGTGAGAGTGTGGACGGGACAGTAGAGTGGTGAGTGAGAGGACGGACGGGAGGATGGGTTTGAGGCGAGAGGTGTTGTAATTTCATATTCTCTCTTCCAACAAGAGGCGGGTGCAGCTCCAGTCATGTAGGCATGTTCATGGCAGCTGCACTCGCTGGTGATGGGCGGCGTGCCCCTGCACCTGCGTCAATTCTCAAAGGTGTGCCCCTGCACCTGCGAGGCGAGGTGAGTGCGTGGACAAGAGGGGTGAGGGAGGGGTGTCCCTTGAGCCATGTACGCTCGCACATGGGGGAGGGAGCCGTGATCACTCTCGGGGCGAGAGCTGCACTCGTTGATGGCGAGGTGGGGGCGTGCCCATGAACCTGCGAGGCGAGGTGAGTGAGAAAGAAGGACGGAGGATGGGGTTGACGGGAGGATGGGGTTGATGGGAGGATGGGATGGGGTTGATGGGAGGATGGGGTTGATGGGAGGATGGGGTTGATGGGAGGATGGGGTTGATGGGAGGATGGGGTTGATGGGAGGATGGGGTTGATGGGAGGATGGGGTTGATGGGAGGATGGGGTTGATGGGAGGATGGGGTTGATGGGAGGATGGGGTTGATGGGAGGATGGGGTTGATGGGAGGATGGGGTTGAAGGGAGGATGGGGTTGATGGGAGGATGGGGTTGATGGGAGGATGGGGTTGATGGGAGGATGGGGTTGATGGGAGGATGGGGTTGATGGGAGGATGGGGTTGATGGGAGGATGGGGTTGATGGGAGGATGGGGTTGAAGGGAGGATGGGGTTGATGGGAGGATGGGGTTGATGGGAGGATGGGGTTGATGGGAGGATGGGGTTGATGGGAGGATGGGGTTGATGGGAGGATGGGGTTGATGGGAGGATGGGGTTGATGGGAGGATGGGGTTGATGGGAGGATGGGGTTGATGGGAGGATGGGGTTGAAGGGAGGATGGGGTTGATGGGAGGATGGGGTTGATGGGAGGATGGGGTTGATGGGAGGATGGGGTTGATGGGAGGATGGGGTTGATGGGAGGATGGGGTTGATGGGAGGATGGGGTTGATGGGAGGATGGGGTTGATGGGAGGATGGGGTTGATGGGAGGATGGGGTTGATGGGAGGATGGGGTTGATGGGAGGATGGGGTTGATGGGAGGATGGGGTTGATGGGAGGATGGGGTTGATGGGAGGATGGGGTTGATGGGAGGATGGGGTTGATGGGAGGATGGGGTTGATGGGAGGATGGGGTTGATGGGAGGATGGGGTTGATGGGAGGATGGGGTTGATGGGAGGATGGGGTTGTTGGGAGGATGGGGTTGATGGGAGGATGGGGTTGATGGGAGGATAGGGTTGATGGGAGAGGCAGGTGTAGCTTCAGCCAGGTAGGCATGATCAAGGCAGCTGCACTCTCTCGTGATTGGCGGCGTACGTACCCATGAACCTGAGAGGTGAGGTGAGGTGAGGTGAGGTGAGGTGAGGTGAGGTGAGGTGAGGTGAGGTGAGGTAAGTGGGTGGGCTGAAGGGCGAGGCGAGCATCCGGACAGGAGAGACGAGTGGGTGAGAGTGGGCTAGATGGGCGAGGTGGGTGCAGGCATTATCTCTGTCAACCCCTGTGAACCCCTGTCAACCCCCTTGAACTCCCGTGAATCTGTGAATGCGACTTTGCCTACAGGTGTGGCAGATATTTGTGGGCACCAAGGCGAGGAGGCGAGCAGGGCTGTACGATGCACTGCTGGAGGAGGCACACCGAGAGGACGACCTGTGCCCCAACAGCACCCTCGCTGACATCTACGCCCGCATTCGTGCCAAAGACGTGCACAACTCGTGGGCCGTGCAGATTGAAAAGGTGAGGGAGGGGGAAAATTGGGGGAGAGGGGGGTGTATACTTGTTGCGCACGTGAGCGACCAGCACGCGCACAAGAAATTCTCAACTGGTGGGCCGTGGATTGAGAAGCAAGGGCTGGTTTCGGGTTGGAGGGCACGTGAGGGAGGGGAGGATGACATGTGCCCCAACAGCTCCCTCGCTGACATGATCATCTACACTCGCTCGCGTCGGCGCCGTGCCCAGCTCGTGGGCCGTGCAGATTTGTTTTGTTTGAGACGTCTCAAATCACTACTTCTATCACGTGGCTACTCGTGGGCCGTGCAGATCGAGAAGGTGAGGGAGGAGGTGGAGGGGAGGGGAAGGGTTGGTATGCTTGTGCGCATTGCCGTGCCGATGTTTGCCATTACCAGATATAATACACCTGCGGTGCGGTGCATGCGGATGGGGAAGCTGGGGGTGGTTTGCAGTTGAAGGGCACTCGGGGGACGAGTCTCACTGGGACACTGGGAGGACGCCCTGTGCACCGGGACCGGAGGCCTGTGTGCCGGGAGCGGGGCCTGTGCACCGGGACCGGGAGGATGTATAAGGTTGAAGTATGGAGGGTTGTCAGAAAGGACGGGACGTGCACATCTCATCTCATGGGCTGTGCAGCACAGCACATCTCATCTCATGGGCTGTGCAGCACAGCACATCTCATCTCATGGGCTGTGCAGCACAGCACATCTCATCTCATGGGCTGTGCAGCAGCAGATGGTGAACGTAGGGAGGGATTGATGGGGTGGCTGCTTTCCCAAAGAAAGAAAAAGGTTACGTTTTTGCACTGGGTGCACGTGCACGTCTCTTGCTTTGCCCCCTCAAGAGATCCTTTTCCCCGTTTTTCAGCGCTCTTTTCCCTCCCGACCCAACCTGCATTCCTCCATCCCCGACCCAACCTGCATTCCTCCATCCCCGACCCAACCTGCATTCCTCCATCCCCGACCCAACCTGCATTCCTCCATCCCCGCTCTCCACCAGGACCGTCCTCGCACCTTCCCCGGGCACCCAGCTCTGGACTCTTTAGGGCGAGACTTGCTGCATGGCCCCAAGATAGATATCATCAACCAGTTTCATTTCCCCCCTTCGATCCCTTCCCGACCTCCGTTCCGCCATCCTCTCTCCCCCCTCCGCCAGGACCTTCCGCGCACCTTCCCCGGCCATCCAGCGCTGGACTCCATTGGGCGAGACTCGCTGCGCCGCCTGCTGACGGCGTATGCGCGGAAGAACAAGGACGTGGGGTACTGCCAGGTGCGTATGGGTTGAGAGGTGTCAGAAGGGGTACTGAAAGGTGGGTGTGGGTGTGTTGCCGCCTGCTGACGGCGTATGCGCGGAAGAACAAGGACGTGGGGTGCTGACTGGTGCGTGTGTGTGTGAGTGGGTGTTGGGGTGTCGTTTCGGTGGGGAGTGTTAGTGGGTGTGTAGTAGAGGGTAAGGAGGATGGTTCTGAGGTGTGGATGTGGGTGTGCCCTGTGTGCGCTCCGTGTGTGCATGTCACAGTCATGGCAACTTGGTTGAATTGTAACCTAGTTTCTGGTATCCTAAAGTTTTATTTAATCAGTATCCCTGTGAGCTAGTTACATAGTACACTTGTAACCTGGTAGGGTATTCTGGGTAAACAATAACTTGGTGGTGGTAACATCTCCTTCCTCCCCCCCACATGAACACACCACAGGGCATGAACTTCCTCGGAGGGCTGCTGCTTCTGAAATTGTAACCTGGTAAAGCAATAACCCAGTAACATAATAACCCAGTAACATAATGACCCAGTAACATAATAACCTGGTAACGTTTCCTCCTCCCTTTCTCCCACATAACAGGGCATGAACTTCCTCGGAGGGCTGCTGCTTCTGCTCATGCCAGAAGAAAACGCCTTCTGGTGAGAGGGAGTGGACGATGTTGTATGAGTAAGTCCCTGTAAATGCCTCGCCATATGCACAACTCTGTTCTGCCTGGCTTCGAAGTAGTTTGGAGCAGGCTTCGGATTTGACAGCGAGTGAATGCGCCTGTTTTGTGATGATTTGATATCAAGCTTCAACTGTCTTCAACCGCTTTGATCTGTCTTGAATTGCCCTGAACCATCCAAACGACCTGGCCCCCTTTTAGCCGGTCATGTCGGGCAAGATTGAAGGCCGACCGGACCCGACCCGACCCAACCTGGCCTAAGCAAAACCGGCAGAAAAAATCGTTGGCGAGTGTTGGAGTTGTGATGCCTCAAAGGCAATAATTTTTATCCCCTTTCTGTTTTGCCGACAAATTCTGAGGCACCTCAATTATCGTGTCAGTCAAAGTCAAGTATTCCTTTTACCCCCCTGTTATGCTGACGACTAGTTGCTTTGCTATCCTATCATATCATATCATGCATGGCTCTGCTGCCGCCCACGCATCATGATTCATCAGGACCCTGACAGGGATTGTGGATGAATATTTGAAGGGCTACTACTCTCACAACATGATCGAAGCTCAGGTGAGACTCAGGTGAGGTTCAGGTGAGGTTCAGGTGCCAATCAGATTAGGTGCCTTTGATGTAATCTCAAAAGGACCCTGACAGCAGTCGCGGACAATTCTCCGAGGGGCCACTACCGTCTACTCCCCCATAGCATGATCGAAGCTTAGGTGAGGTTAGGTGAAGCTCAGGTGAGGCCCAGGTGAAGCTCAGGTGAGGCCCAGGTGAGGCCCAGGTGAGGCTGTTAAGAGTTGATTGTGTCATGCGGAGTCAGCAGATGTTGAGACCTTGATGCGCCTGACTAGGGCTCAATGTGAGCTATCTGTGTGATATGAACCATTGAACCATTGAACCATTGAACCATTGAACTCTTGTAACTTGTCCCCATCCAGCTCAAACGATTTGGTTCAGGTGGGATGGCAACGCCAGACAGATTCATTGTGTGTTTGTATTCGTCCTGTTTGTATGGGTGCTTACGCTCGTTCGCGTGCATGCGTGAGCGAGTGTGCTTTGCGTTTCATGCTTGGAACTCTTGTAACTTGTCTCTCTCTCCTTCGCCCGCGCCCAACCCAACAGGTGGACCAGCTGGTGTTTGAAGACCTCGTGAGGCAAAACTTCCCTCGACTTGGTGAGACTGGCTTCTCATGCTCCTTTCTCCATGCCTGGCTTGGTCTCGTGCATTAGGAAAAGAATGGGTGTGCACAAACCCTATTTCAAACCCATGTTCTTCGATTTGCTTCATGAACATCTTTCTTCGAGCGACCCGTTTTGAGATAGCAGCTGCCATGGACCACATTGGCCCCTGGTTGGTTCCTCACCCTCTCCCTCCCTCTTCCAATCTCCTATTTTTGCCTCACGCGCCTATCCCCCTTTGTGCTACATCCCTCTCCATTTCTTCGCTCCCTATCCTCCATCAATGTCGCACCATCTCCAGCAACGCACTTTGGGAACATGGGTTGCAGCTATCATGGATCACTGGCCCCTGGTTCCTCCTCACACTCTCTTTCCCTCCTACCCTTCCCTTTGCCGCGTCACTCTCCTATCCCTCTCCCTCACTCTCCTACCCTCTCCATTGTTGCATCACTGCAGCAACGCACTTTGAGAACATGGGGGTGCAGCTGTTGTGGATCAGTGGCCCCTGGTTCCTCTCCCTCTCTTTCTCCCTCCCTCCCATCCTCCTTATTGCCGCGCAACCTCCTCTCCTCTCCTCTCCTCTCCAGCAACGCACTTTGAGAACATGGGGGTGCAGCTGTCGTGGATCACAGGCCCCTGGTTCCTCTCCCTCTTCATCAACGTGTTTCCATGGGAGAGCGGTGAGACGAGTTGTTCTAAAATGTCTCAAGACTGAACCTCTGTTTGTCGTTTTTTTCCCTAGGAATACTGAGTGAATGGTTGATTTTTTAGATCCTTCATTTCTGACAACTCTCGCATGTGAATCCAGTACTGCGCATTCATATAGTGTCTTCAGAACACTCTAGGCTGTAGCACCGCTGTGTGTGTGTGTGCCACGCATACGCCAAATGCACTATGTCAAATGTGTCAACAGCAATAAACCCAAAACGTAGATTCCGAACAACACTCCTTGACTGCTCTCTATCCCCCCCCCCTTTTCCCTCCCTTCACCTCCTTCCTTGCTCCCGTCCATTTCCGTTCCTTCTTCCCCCCCAAATCCTGCCGTCCCATGCCACTGCCTCCCAACCGACCCAACCTTTCCCTGAGATCCCCAACACGATATGCAACATATATATGCACCGACCTTTTCCACCCTCTCTTCACCCTTCCCCCCTTCCCACTTCTCTCTCCGCCGCGTGTTTTGTGGGATGTGATGCCGTTGCAGACACCAGGCACACAGCAGCATACATCCTCCCTCCCCACCCTCTCTCTTCACCCTCCCCCTGTCCCCTCGCAGTGGTGCGCGTGTGGGACGTGATGCTGTTTTGAGGGCAAGAACTAGAGATGCACACAGGAACATGTATAAACCCCACTCTTCACCAAATCCCCTCCCCCACCCGCGGTGCCGTGCGTGTGGGATAGGGATGAGCAAGGGGTGAACACGACGTGTTCGCCCCTACACGAACACATCCGTTTGCCGAACCGAACAGTGTTCGGTTCGGCGAACACTTTAAGCAAAAACAGGTGTTCGCCGTTCGCCTGTGAAGGCGTGTTCGGGCGAACCTCGAACACGCTCGTGTTCGTCGTGGGGCGAATTGCAGCAGCGGCCCGAACACGAACGTGTTCGGGCGAACCTCGAACACTGTTTGGCGAACACTTTAAGCAAAAAAAACAAACCTGTTCGGTTCGCCGCGAACACGTTCGAGGCGAACCGAACAGGTGTTCGTTTTTTTGCTCATCCCTGGTGTGGGATGTGATGCTGTTTGAGGGCACGCATTAGAAACAAGCACCCCACTCTCTTCACTCTCTTCTCCCCCTCCCTCCCCCCCCAACTTCGCAGTGCTGCGTGTGTGGGACGTGATGCTGTTTGAGGGCAGTCGCTGCATGCTCTTCCGGGCGTGCCTCGCGCTTCTCGAGCAGCACTGTGAGTGAAGTGATCACTTCAGCAATTCTTCCCTTCCCTTCGCCTCTCTTCCCCCTCATTGCTGTTTACTTGGATCGCATTTGCGCTTCAAGCAGCATGGTGCAGCAGCATGGTGCAGCAAGGCACCCTTCGTCAAGCTTATGCTCTTCTTTTGTTATCTTGCTCAACCATGCCCCTCCACTCAACTTGTTCATCCCTTGCAACAGACACGCAATTTCAGACCTATCTCTCATCGCGTGCATATAAGAGGCCAAAACGAGGCTTGAGCGAAGCATGACTGGCTGGCGGCGACCTCTTGCTGATCCATATCCCCCCCCCCCTTCCGATGTTCCCATATCCGTCCTTCCGTCCCCTCCTTCCTCATCTGCTGGAGCTTTCTTTGCTGATGGAGCTGACTGACTCATGTGAGCAGGGCGAGCACATGTCGACCCTCATCCGCTCTCCCTTCACTCTCTGCCCTCCCTCCACTTCCCTTCACCTCTCTCTCCCTTGCACAGCCTTTCTACTGATGGAGCCCACTGAAACAGGCGAGCACATGTCCACCCTCCAGCGCATAGCAGCATCGGCCCCCTTTGATGCCACTCATCCTTCCCTGCCCCCTTCCCTGCCCCCTTCCCTGCCCCCTTCCCTGCCCCCTCTCCTTTTCTCCCTGCACAGCCTTCCTACTGATGGAAATCACTGAGACGGGCGAGCTCATGTCCACCCTGCTGAACTCGGCAGCGTCGGCCTTTGATGCCAGTCAGCTGGTGCTGAACGCGTGTGTGGGGTACATGGCTGTGGACGAGGCGTTATTGGAGGTGAGGATGGGTGCAGTGCGGTGCGGTGCATGGGTGCGTGTGCGTGGTGGGTGCAGGAGGAGGACCGTACCATACCGGTCGGAGTAATTTTAGACAAAACTCAAAATATGTTTTAGAGGTGAGGTGACGGACGCAGGTGAGGTAAGGCAACGGAGGTAAGGTAAGGTAATGGAGGTGAGGTAACGGACGCAGTATTGGGAGGTGGGTGGGGAAGACGTGGTGCTTTGAGACATCAGGAGAACCTCCGCGTGCTTTGAGGGGAACCTCCGCGTGCTAAAACAAGTGTTTTGAGTCGTCTCAAAACACTGCTTTGAGACCTGAGGTGAACTTCCGAGTCTCGACTCGAAACGCATATTCATCTGAGGTGACGTTTGACAAGGTGACTTGAGTTGACTCAAGGTGACTTTTGAGTTGATTCAAGGTGACTTTTGAGTTGATTCAAGGTGACTTCTGAGTCGACTCAAGGTGACATTTGAGTCGACTCAAGGTGACATTTGAGTCGACTCAAGGTGACTTTTGAGTTGACTCAAAAGTCACCTCGTTTTCAAACCGGCAGAGATATTGTCATGTCATCTGAGGTGACGTTTGACTCGACTCAGCACAACAGCCACCTAGTGTGAGTGAGTGAGTGAGGTCTCAGGGTCAGGCCTTTTGAGGCTGCTCAAGAGTCGTCAATTAACCCGCACTTTTTGAGGCGTCTCCACCTGTTGCAACAATCTTCCGACTTCCAACCCTTCCCCTTCCCCTTCCCCTTCCCCGCGGCAGGCCCTGAGGCAGAAGCACCGGCAGCCATCATGTGTCTGCTGGAGTGGAGGAGAGGCAGGTGGCACTGCAGCACTGCCTGAGTGGCAAGTCACACACACAACAACAACGGGCTTTCATAATCCGTTCCACCCTCTCCCCTCTCGTTTCCTCCCCGCGGCAGGCCCTGAGGCAGAAGCACCGGCCGGCCATAATGAGGCGGCTGGAGGAGAGGCAGGTGGCGCTGCAGCGCTACCAGAGCGGCAAGTCAGAGCGCCTCAAAGCGGAGGCTGCTGCTATCTTTGAGCGCATGTCCCTCCACCCCACTGCTGACTGCTGCTGCTGCATTAGGCTCTAACCTCCCCTCCCCTGTCTTCTTCCCCCGCCCCCCTCTCCCCCTCGCACCCCCTCTCCCCAGACTCTAAGGCAGAAGCACCGGCCAGCCATAATGCGTCGATTAGAGGAGAGGCAGGTGGCGCTGCAGCGCTACCAGAGCGGCAAGTCAGAGCGCCTCAAAGCGGAGGCTGCTGCAATCTTCGAGCGCATGTCCCTCCACCCCACTGCTGACGGCCGCCCCGTCACCACCAACTCCCTTGACGACTCCATCCTCCCCTCCCCTTCTGCTGTCGCTGCCTCTGGGTCGGGTCTCCTGCTGGATCCGCCGTCGCTGCTCCTGCCACCGTCTACTGACAGCCTCGCTACTAACAGTCTTTTTAGTAATAGCAAGAGCGGTAACAGTAGGAATAGTCAACTGCCGCCTCTGCCCACCCAGGGGCGTCAGAAGGGGGCTTTTCAGGAAGGCTCCCAGGCAGTCCCAGCGGCCAATCAGCTCCCGCCACCTGTCCAATTTAAGCCTGGAGCGAGGCTGTTTGCCCTCCCTCCCAGCCCTCCACTTGCCCGGTCCTCCTCCCTCTCAAGGCTCCACGTGTCAGCTCTCCATAGGCCCGTTTGGCACCGCTTTGGCATGCACTTAGGGTGCAGCCCTGCTGCTAGGAACATGGTGGCGCTTTTAGCTAAGCAAATGGAGGAGGAGCACACGCAGCCCCGGGCACCGCCGAAGCTGTCGCTGCCGAACCGAGTGGCTCGGGCCGTGGCTGTGTTGCTGGAAGCAGCAGGGGAGGATGGTGGGAGGGAGGTAAGGGATGGGAGGGCGGATGTGAATGGTGGCCTGGATATGCCCATGGATGGATCCTCTTGGCCTGATGTGAATGGATGGCCGATAACCACCACCACTGTCTCCTCCGTGTCTTCAGCAAGCATGCTAGCAGGGAGACTAGCTGGGGCAGCAGGTTCGGTCTCCTTCTCCTCCGCCTCTCTCGCCTCTCTCGCCCCATGGCCTGACCACCGCCGCTCCTCCTCCTCTCACGACCTTGCTGCTCTCAACCGCAGCCCCGCCTCTCCCCCCATCCCGCTCCCTGCGAACGGTGTTAATGGTGCCTCTGCTGATGCTGGTGCTACTGGCGATGATGGTGGTGCTGGTGACGAGAATTGCTTCAGAGAGGGAGCAGGTGCAGCAGCGGCGGTGGAACCAGGAGTGGCAGGGGGGGAAGCGGGAGCAGGGGGAGCAGGGGGGGCAGGGGGAGCAACAGCAGCTGTACCATCAGCTGTTGCTGCATGGCGCTGGTCCGGATGGGGTCAGGCAGGGTCTCTGTTCGGTGGAGGAGGAGGAGGAGGAGGAGGAGGAGGAGGAGGAGGAGGAGGAGGAGGAGGAGGAGGAGGAGGAGGAGGAGGAGGAGGAGGAGGAGGAGGAGGAGGAGGAGGGGCAACACCCGCTGCTGCTGCCGCATCTGCTGCAGATGCAGCTGCAGGAGGGGCGGACGGGATGGCGGGGGAAGGGGAGGGGCAGGTTGGGGACAGTGCAGAGCGGTTGAAGAGGGATATGAATGCTATGCTGGATCTACAAGCTCAGGTTAGTGTGGCTTGCAGAGCAGATGCACAGGTGGATCCAGCAGGTGGATTACTGGTGGGTTCCAGGGGAGGTGGGTTCCAGGGGAGGTGGGTTCCAGGGCAGGTGGGTTCCAGGGCAGGTGGGTTCCAGGGCATGGAGTGTGTTCACTCTGCATATTTTTTAAGAGATTGTTATGAGTGCAACATCTTCATCTCCCTCCTTCCTTTCCTCCCCCCCCTCCATCCCCACTTTCCCCTCCTCTCCCGACATCGCCTCTTTTCCCTCCTTTCCCTCCATCCCCTCTTTCCCCTCCATCCTAGGCTTGAGCAGGAGGGCGAACACCAGTTCGGTTCGCCACGAACTGAACACTTATGTTTTTGACCTAAAGTGTTCAAGGCAAACATGTTCATGTTCGCCCCCTGCTCATGCCTACTCCATCCCCTCTTTCCCCTCCTTTCCCTCCATCCCCTAATTCCCGTCCCCTCCCTTCCCTTACTCCTGCCAGGTGGCTTGGTTAAAGGAGCAGCTGGTGTTTACGCTGGAGAGCCACCACGAGTCACAGACGCGGTGAGCGCACAGGTGTTAAGATTGACAGCAGTGAGAATCGATCCATGGAATTCTCATATGACTGACAGAAGGTTGAATATGGAACGGCTGGTGTTCATTCTGGAGAGCCACCACGAGTCACAGCAGCTGTGAGAGAAGTGACCACATGTTGACAGCAGCGAGAATCGATCCTTGGACTACTAAAATACTAGGTGGAGGTTGAATTCGAGCAGCTGATGTTCACCCCAAGGAGCCATCACGAGTCACAGCAGCGGTGAGAAGGAAGTGTGGTAGCTTTCTGACAGCTGTCAGAAGAATGGATTCAATTCATTGGTGGTGTATATTGAAATGAATGGCCACGTTTGTGTTGTGGAACAATGTTGACAGCAGTGAGAATCGATCCATGGACCTCTCAAAAGGTGAATGGAGGGCTGAACACGAGCAGCTGGTCTTCACAAGAAGGTCACCACGAGCGTCATTCTTAGCAGTCATGAGTGAGAATCATTCAACGCTGTGGTGACAAGTGGACCATGGGCAGGTTCACTTGAAGTGAACATGCCGTCAGACACGTGACGATTGCCCCATTGGTAAGAATTCATTGTAGATAGTGGTCCCGACACCACAAGTGCGATACGACTTTGATGACAGGGGGTCTTCCCAGTGGTAGTGTGTGCAGCGGTGGATGATGTCACCATGCCACTCTGTGTGTCTCTGTTCTGTGTATGCACAGGGTGGAGGCTCTTCAAACAGCCATGGTGGAAATGGCTCAGAGAGACACACACATGCAGCTCACAGTGAAGGTGGGTTGGACGCATGTACAAACTGACTTCTTCAGATTCTCTCTGTTCTATCAGTTTTTCTCAATAATATCCATATCTGCTTTGTTTCTCTCTGTGCTAACAAATCTGCTTCATTCCATTTTCTCTCCTAATTCTATCAAATGTCCATATCATATACGCCCTGTGCTGAATACTCGCTAACAAATCTCCTCAACTAAATCGGCTTCATCAATGCTTCTAAATCCTGCCCTCACCCATACTGCTCATTTCACTCACACTATCCATCTACCTGGCTGAGTGAAATGAGCCATACTGCTCATCTACCTGGCTGGCAGGTGGAGCAAATGACCAACGAGGTGGAAGTGCTTCGGAGGGAGCTACTGCCTCCCACTCGCCCATCCATTCCTTTCTGCCCCTTTCCCTCCGTGTCCCACCTCGCGTTCCCCCCCATCCCTTTACCTCGCAGGTGGAGCAAATGACCAACGAGGTGGAGGTGCTTCGGAGGGAGCTGTCGCAGCAGCAGCAGCGGGCAGCAGTGGTGCTCGAGCAAGCGGTCATGGACAAGCAGGTGGGATCAATGGATGGCACAGTGCACACTGTTTCGTTTTGCACCTTAAAACAAGTACAAGAGTGGCCTGTAACGGACAACCAGATGGCAGCAGCAGCGGGCAGCAGTGGTGCTGGAACAAAGCGGTCATGGACAAGCAGGTGGGATGAATAAAGTGTTTGTTTCTGTATGTACCCTATATCAAGAGAAGCAGGGCGAGCGGGCTGTACTGCAGCAGCAGCGGGCAGCAGTGGTGCTCAAGCAAGCTCTTATGGACAACCAGGTGGGTGGGTGGGATGAATGAATGAACTGCGGGATACAGAGCTTTCTTCTGTGTACTCTGTATAATACAGACTGTTATGATTGAGTATAAGAGCAGGCTGCAATGGATAAAAGTATCACGGCAGCAAATTGCAGTAGTGGTGGTGCCGGAGCAAGCTGTCATGGATGACCGGTGTATTTGACTATAATTCACTCTGATTGATTTCCATTGACTTTCACCACGTCATCTCATTGAATGAGGATGGGATGCAGGGAGAACTGAAAGCACTGCTGCCGAGGGCATTGGCTGGCTCTCCTTTGCTTGACTAGATTCTGGTTATTTCTGTATTGACTTTTGTTGACTTATGTGGACTTTCACCACCTCATTTCATCAGAATTTCACCATCTCATTTCATCAGAATTTCACCACCTCATTGTCGCGTTATTAACACCTGGCTGACGGCAAGGTGTGAATTACACAGCAGCAAGGTAATTTTGCATTTCTTGCTTTGTACTCTAATTTCGTTTGTGTGCTTGGTGTGCACTGTAGATACACTTTACAGAGCCGAGTGCTGGGAGAACCGAGGAGGTTGGTGCTGAAGGGCGAATTCAATTCCAGCTGTGAATTCGATTTCCAGTTGGAAGTGCAGTTCCAGCTGGGAATTCGATTCTAGGCAAGGAATTCGATTCCAGCTGGAAGGCAGTGCATGCCTAGTGGGCCTAGTGGAACCCAGCTAGCACCACGGAGCCATCAAGAGCAGCTCGGCTGACTCTCATCTGGCACCAAGAGCTAGCGTGTGGAAGAAGGATCCTAGGCAGGCACAGGAAGGAATGTAGTCAGGGATAGCACTCAGGTTTCTTGCTTTTTGCTTGTTTGTTTCTCGTAATACTGCAATTCGTTTTCCCAACCACGGAAGCAAGCAGTTAAAGAGAAGCTCAGGCAAACTGACGGAGCCCTTGCAAGGGAGAGCATTCAGTCTTGTTGCAAACAAGCAAAAAGGTAGCGGTAGAGAAGCGTACGGGCGCAGAGGCCCGGTGTTAGCCACGGCGTCAGGGCCGTGAGGCATGAGCGATACGGATCTGGATCTACACATCCATCAGTTGCGGTCGGGGCAGAGGTATCCCGCTAGGACTATGGAAGGTCGGGAAGAGCCGCCTGTGAAGCCTGGATTTCGTGCAGATGGAGGAGTTCATGAAACACAGGGAGGAAAGGGCCCTGATCTGCCGAAGGAGGGTGAGAATCGTCAGGAGAACTTGCCCAGCTCGGTGCACAACTCGCAGGGACGACAGAGCGAGGCGAGATCTGGGCAGGAAGGATCGGAGCAAGGAACGCCTGCGCGCAGCGATGCGCACAGACGGGAAGCAGAGCAGAATTTCAGAGAGGAGAATTTTCGTGGTCTATCCGGAGGGCGCAGTACCACCAGGGGGCTCGAGCAAGGGGGTTGGCCTGCAGGAAGCAGAGAGAGGGAAGCCGCAAGCTGGGGGACAGGGAGGTCTATGAACACGGCACCTCCAAAGATCGAAATACCAGACCGCTTCTCAGGGGCACCAGGTGAAGAGCCAACACTGAAGAACTACCTTATGATGATTGATGACATACGGTACACCTGGGAGAGAGAGGGGTTAGATCCGATTTATTTTTTCAGAGGATTGGGAAGGACGCTGAAAGGGGAGGCACTGACACACTACAGAGTGGAGCGTCAAGGGCTGTTGATGCAGTGCAAGAATGGGGACTTTGCGCAGGGAGAGATCACTGACCGATTTTTGGACACGCTGCGTGAGCAGTTCCCCGGGCACTCAGCAGAGCGTATGATAGAGTTCCAAGACTTTAAAAGAGGACGGGCCGAGTCGTTGCTGGCATACTACAACCGGCTGCTGGAGTTGGCTGAGGATATTGTCTGCGTTGAGGAGCGTACCTTGGTGACAAAATTCCTGGGGGGGTTGGAGGAGGAGCTGATGAATGAAATGAAAACACGTCTGTACGCTTTGGGGATGAAGGCGAGACTCAGGCAGGTGTATCAAGTGGCGAAAGAAGTGGAGGAAGGGCGGAGGTTCTTTGAAGGCTTGAGAGGAGCAAGCTCCAGCCGCTCAAACGAGCGAAGGAGACCAGCCTGGGCAGCAGCTGAAGGAAGGAGGGGGGAGGAAGAACGAAGAGAGAAGCCCTGGGAAGACCCAAGGCGGTGCCATAAGTGTGGGGAAAAAGGGCATATACGGAAGGACTGCCCAGTGGGCATTGTATGCGACACCTGTGGCGTGGAGGGGCACTTCAGGCGAGACTGCCCCAAGGCTCCCACCTGCACCAACTGCGGCAAGAAGGGACACACGAAAGAAAGGTGTTACAGCCGAGGAGAGAAGGAGAAAGGGAAGTCCGCGAGAGAGCTGCAGCTGGAAAGGGAGCTGGCGAAATTAAAGGCACAGATGGAGAAGACTCAGGTCAGTGAGGATCCGGAGAAAGCACTGCTAGCCTGGGAGGAAGACGAGGAGGAATCAGGTGAGGAGGAACCGGAGTATGGTACGATGGCATTACAACCTCGACCGCGGGAAGAGTTGGGGCTGAGGAGCAAAGGGGTGGACGGCAGAACCAATGAAAAGACCTACGAGAGGAGAGGCCCCAAGATACAACAGAGTGGAGATGAGAAGCGGACAGCACGGCGACGGCCTGAGGAGAGAATGGTGTGTCAGCCTACAGCGTTGGTAGCCGAACCCGGAGCTGTGGCTGTAAGAGGCATACGGGTGGAGATAACGCAGTGGTGGACACTGGGGCGCAGAGTGTGCTGATTGGGAGGAAGCTGGGGGAGCAACTGAAGGCTCAAGGGGACTTGGAGCTAGTGGAACGGGGATTACTCATCATGACGGCGGAAGGGGGAGCACCCAAATGGATGCCGTGCACAAAGGAGCCGATAGAGATCACGCTGCAGCCTGGGGAAAGGGGTGAGACCAAGATACGAGTGCAGTGCGGGATGACAGAATCGGATGACTACGACATCCTGCTAGGCATGGAGCTGCTGTTTAGGGTGGGAGCGACAATATGTACTTGGGAGGAGCGGGTGCAGTACCGTACTGAACGTTGGAGGGAAGGAGGTGAGCTGGGCGAACTGCCGGTCAGGTTTGTTAAGACAGAACCCAAGAGGGCCTGGAGAGCAGGGGCGGTCAGGGGAGAGAGGAAGAAATGGGATGGAGAAAGCGCACTGGCAGGAATGGGGGCAAAGCTGAGTGAGTACAGTGTGACGCTAGTGGAGCTGTTCGGAGGCATAGGGGCGGGGCTTGCAGCAGCCTTAGAGGCCGGCCTGGAGGTTAAGAAGTGGCTTTACATAGAGATAGATCCGGAGGTGCGCAAGATGGCATGGAGTCATGCCAGGGCCTTGCAGGAGCTGTATCCAACGCAGCTGCGAAAGGAAGTCATAGTAGAGGCAATGAAGAGAGAGCATTGGGATGTAAGGGAGATCAGCAGGCATGAAGTAAGGAGCTGGGGAAAGGTCGACTTACTGGTGGCCGGGTGGGAGTGTCAGGGCACTTCTCGGGCAGGCAAGGGAAGAGGGCTGCAGGATGAGCGCACGGGGTTAATCAAGAAGCTCCTGGAGGTCATGGCCTGGATGAGGGAAGGAGGAGAAAAATATGCGTACATCTTGGAGCACGTGGACATGAAGGGAGATCCTCGAGAACCGGTGCGAGCTGTGAGGGAGATGGTGGAGGCACAGCTAGGGAAGGGAGTGAGTTGGGATGCAGCCCTGCACGGAGCACAATGTCACCGGTCACGGTGCTACTGGCAGAACGTGCTACCAGAGGAAGAGCTGCGTGCAAGACTGTCTAGGGTGGAGAGGGATGACCGGAGGATAGTGGAGGATATCCTGGAACCTGGTCGCATGGCAGCTCCAGTGTGGAAGCCGGACCATCCCCTGCAGCACCAGTGTAACAGGATAGGGGAGGCACGACGAGCCTTACCGACGCTGGTCGCCTACCCAGGAGCCAGGGGGTTTGTTGAGATGGACGGCCAGCCTGGCCCAGGGATGATATATGACCACAAAAGGAAAAGGTGGGAGGAGCCGACAGCTCTGGAGAGAGAGTTGGCTATGGGTTATCATGCAGGGGCGACGGCAGCACCGGGTATAAGTGAGGAGGCAAGGAGGGCAGCAATGGGGAGAGCTATAGATCAGCACTCACTGAGATGGCTGATTGGCGAGATGAGGAAGGGGGCAAGGGGGCCTGGAGGTAAGAAGGCATGGGGGGAAAGGGGCAGCCAGCGTACTCAGCGGTGGAGCTGAAAAAGGTAGTAGAGGCGGAGCCGAAGCAAGAGAAGTTGAATGTCACCAAGGGGCCAGAGAAGGAATGGGAGATAGGGGCAGATGTGGAAACAGGGGCTGCAGAGGCGATCAAGCAGCTGCTGAAGGCGCACAGGGGCACATTTGCATACAACCTACAGGAGCTGGGGCAGTACAAGGGCGGGGAATTAGAAATTAAGCTCACAACGGAGATGCCGACTTACCAGCGCAGGAGGCGCATGAATGCTGAAGATGCGGCTATCTGCAAAGAGAAGTGCGAGGAGTTGCTGGCAGCAGGAATTATCCGCCCATCCGAGTCTAGTTACGCAGCTGCCACAGTGGTCGCAGCCAGGAAAGATTTGACCGGCGCGGTTCTGTCACGGCGGATGTGCGGGGACTACCGTGATCTGAATAAAATCACGGAGCCGGACCGCTATCCCATGCCGACCGCAGAGGATATCTTTGACCTGCTGGAAGGGGCAGTCATTTTCACCACGCTAGACCTTAGGCAGGGGTTTAACCAGATTGCCATAAGGGAGGAGGACAAGCGCAAAACCGCGTTTCATGGGGTGGACGGGTTATATGAGTATAACAAGATGCCATTCGGCATGCGGAACGCATCTGCGGTGTTCCAGCGAGCGATGGATCAGGTACTGCGCGGCATATCAGCAGCAGCATGCTATATTGATGATGTGCTGGTCTTCAGCAAGACAGACACACAGCATGCGGAGGACCTGAGACGGACGCTAGAGGCGATAGCAGCAGCAGGACTCACCTGCCACCCAGAGAAGTGCAAAATAGCGAGAAGGACAGTGGCGTATTTGGGGTTTGAAGTGAAGGGGGGCAGGCTAGGCATTCGGGAGGCAAAGGTTAAAGTGCTGGACAAGTTGGCGCCACCGAAGGACAAATCGGGGCTGAGGGCACTGCTCGGCTTCCTAAACTACTATAGGAAGTTCGTGCCGAACTTCAGCCGGCGAGCGAACCTCCTGAATTAACTGCTCAGGGAAGGGAAGCGATGGGAGTGGGGAAAGGAGGAAGAGGCGGCCAGACAGGATCTCTTAGAGGCGGTGCGGACCGGGACACTGCTGCAGATTCCTAGGGCAGACGCGCCATTTACACTGTACACTGACTGGAGCTGCATGGGGATGGGGGCAGTATTGTGTCAGGAGATTGAGCGAGAAGAGCGTGTGGTAGCATTTGCCAGCCGCAGCTGCAGCCCGACCGAAGCAAATTACTGCTCGTATGAAGGCGAGGGGCTAGCAGCTGTATGGGGAATCAACCATTTCAGGGTCTACCTGCAGGGGCGCAGGTTTGTGCTGGTAACCGACCATCAGCCCTTGATGTGGCTGATGACGAACCAGGAACTGACGGGAAGGAACACTCGCTGGGCGATCAAGCTGCTGGGGTACGACTTTGAAATCCGTCATCGTCCGGGAAAGACCCTCCAGCATGCAGATGGTCTGTCACGAAACCCTCCGCCGGTGCAGCCTGTGGCGCAGCTGGTGGCAGTCGCACAGGTGCCAGCAGCTGGCTGGGGGCAGGAAAAAGTTGAGAAGCGGCAGCTGGATGTCTGGGAAGACACCGAGACTCTGGAGTGGATTAAGGGAGGAAACACCGAGGGGGAAGAGGCCAGTGAAAGGGCACGGGCCAGGGGGCAGCATTACCGCTGGTACCAAGAGCAGCTGCAGTTGCGCACAAGTGAGGGATGGAAGATAGTGCCACAGAGGACAGGGAGAGGATCGTGCAACGAGTGCATGGGAAACTGGGGCACTACGGAACGGCACGCACCAATCAACTGCTGAGCACGATGTACTGGTGGGCAGGAATAAGGAGGGACGTCAAGGAGCTGGTAGATGAGTGTGCAGCCTGTCAGCGTAACAAAGCAGCACTGGAGAAGGCCCGGGAGGAGCTGCAGTCACTGCCAGTTCGGGGTCTAGGCTACCGCTGGTCACTAGATTTGGCGGGAGAATTACCTCTGTCCAAGAGAGGCAAGCAGTACATACTCGTGATGGTGGAGCACACGAGCAAGTGGGTAGAGGCCAGGGCACTGCCGAGCAAGAATAGCGGGCTGATTGCAGAGGCGTTCGTGGAGCAAGTGATCACCAGGTTTGGTGCGTGCGGGGAGGTGTTGACAGACCAGGGTACAGAGTTCAAGGGTTGCTTTGAAGAGACCCTGAAGGAGCTGCAGATTACTCACCGCGTGACATCAAGGTATCACCCGCAGTCAGATGGGTTGACGGAGCGGCTAATTCAGACGCTCAAGAGAGGGTTGCTGCCTACGGAGAGATGAACAAGAGAGGATGGGACCAGGAGCTACACTGGATTCTTGCAGGTTACCGCTTTGCCAAGCAGGCGGCCCTGAAGGACATGTCGCCCTACCACCTGCTGTACGGGAGGAACCCCATCTTACCCGTGGATGCACCAAAGCTGCTGAGCGCGACGATAGATGCAGAAGAGCCACACCTGTGGGCAGAGCTGGCCAGGAAGAGGGCGACATACCTGAGGGAACTGACACCGGCAGCGCTGGACAACCTCCATGTGGCTCAGCTGAGGGACGCTAAACGCTATCAGCAGAGGAAGGCAGGAGAGGAGGGAGGCAGACGTAAGGGAGTGGAGGCTGGGCAAGAAGTGTACCTGCGGCAGGCCAAGCGAGATACCTTAGACCTAGCAGTGGGGCCAGAGCGCTGGCGAGTGAAGGAGGTGAGGCAGTCCGGAGTCTTGGTGCTGGAGGACGCGCAGGGAAGGCGTATTAAAGAGCACGTTACCAATGTGGCAGCAGCCGGAAAGGAAAAGGCTCAGGCTGGTAATCCCGGGGCCAGAGCTGCTAAGGCTGCGGCTCCGGCACGGAAGGGGGCAGTGCAGCCTGAGATGCAGAGAGGAGGCAAGGGCAGTGTCATCACATACACACGCAGGAAGAAGAGAGAGGCAGATGGCCAGGGGGCAGGCAAGTAGGGAGAGTAAATCGAGAGGATGAGAGTGAGAAGAGAGGCCGACTGCACCTATCAGGGAGGGATAGGCAATGTAAGAGGGAGGCAGAGAAGTGAGTTTGAAGAAGCAGGCCAAAGGGGGGTACTTCACGACAGCTGTCGCGTTATTAACACCTGGCTGACGGCAAGGTGTGAATTACACAGCAGCAAGGTAATTTTGCATTTCTTGCTTTGTACTCTAATTTCGTTTGTGTGCTTGGTGTGCACTGTAGATACACTTTACAGAGCCGAGTGCTGGGAGAACCGAGGAGGTTGGTGCTGAAGGGCGAATTCAATTCCAGCTGGGAATTCGATTCTAGGCAAGGAATTCGATTCCAGCTGGAAGGCAGTGCATGCCTAGTGGGCCTAGTGGAACCCAGCTAGCACCACGGAGCCATCAAGAGCAGCTCGGCTGACTCTCATCTGGCACCAAGAGCTAGCGTGTGGAAGAAGGATCCTAGGCAGGCACAGGAAGGAATGTAGTCAGGGATAGCACTCAGGTTTCTTGCTTTTTGCTTGTTTGTTTCTCGTAATACTGCAATTCGTTTTCCCAACCACGGAAGCAAGCAGTTAAAGAGAAGCTCAGGCAAACTGACGGAGCCCTTGCGAGGGAGAGCATTCAGTCTTGTTGCACAGTGCAGCCTGAGATGCAGAGAGGAGGCAAGGGCAGTGTCATCACATACACACGCAGGAAGAAGAGAGAGGCAGATGGCCAGGGGGCAGGCAAGTAGGGAGAGTAAATCGAGAGGATGAGAGTGAGAAGAGAGGCCGACTGCACCTATCAGGGAGGGATAGGCAATGTAAGAGGGAGGCAGAGAAGTGAGTTTGAAGAAGCAGACCAAAGGGGGGTACTTCACGACATCATTTCATCAGAATTTCACCATCTCATTTCATCAGAATTTCACCATCTCATTTCATCTGAATTTCACCATCTCATTTCATCAGAATTTCACCATCTCATTTCATCAGAATTTCACCATCTCATTTCATCAGAATTTCACCATCTCATTTCATCAGATTGAGAGGCAGCGAGAGCTGAACGAGGACGCTTCTTGGCTCTAGATTGACTCGTGTACTTTGAGTCGACTCAAAAGTCACCTCGATATACTCATTCGGCTAATGTTGACTGCCTTTTGTTGACTTTCACTAATCATTCGATCAGGCTGATTTGCAGGGGGGAGCTCAACGAACTGCTGAGGGCATTGGCGTCAAATGAGGAGAAGATGAGGCGGGAGATGGAAAGGGCGGCTGTAAAATTTGATTGACTTTTATTGAGTTCCTCCACCATTCTTGCATCCTCGCAGATTGAGATGCAGAAGGAGGTGAATGCACTGCCGAGGGCGTTGGCACGAGGGAGGAGAAGATGCAACACGAGGTGGAGGGGCTGAACGACGGGATGGAAAGACTGTGGTTGACTTGCGTTGACTCGCATCGACCTGCGTGACTCAAGTGCTTAGCATCCCACTCCCCCTCGCAGATTGAGATGCAGCGGGAGCTGAATGCGCTGCTGAGGGCATTGGCGTCAAAGGAGGAGAAGATGCGGCGGGATGTGGAGGGGCTACATGATAGGGTGGAGGACAAGGAGATGGAGATAGAGCGACTCAAGCGGGTGAGTGCGGGTGTGTGTAACAGTGTGAGAGAGACTCAAGAGGATGAGTTTGGCTGTGTGTGGTTCATGATTGTATACTGTTAATTGGCTCCTTCAAGACACGTCCCTGTCTTCTGGAGAGCTATCATAGAATGACTTTGCATGGTGATGGGTCATACATGCGCATGGTGATGGGTCATACATGCACATGGTTTTAGTCGACTTGGAAATCGGCCTGATCACTTCTTGATGCTCCTTCATCGTTTCTAGTCGACTCAGCTTGCCTAATGCATCCTCGTTGTTGCAAATCAGCTTGCCTAATGCATCCTCGTTGTTGCAAATCAGCTTGCCTAATGCATCCTCGTTGTTGCAAATCAGCTTGCCTAATGCATCCTCGTTGTTGCAAATGATTGGTCGTCTGGAGGGGGAAAAGACTAGCCTTGCTTATTGCACACGCGCCTCTTTGGATGTATTTGCTGCATGCAGGTGATTGGTCGTCTGGAGGGGGACAAGAGGGAGCAAGAGGAGATGATAGCAGTGGGCAGGCAGCAGGTGGATACACACAAGCGCGTGATTGAGATGCTGGTGGTGAGTTGGTTCTCTGTTCTGTGTACCCTGAGAGTACCATGCGTGCACTATGTATGTGTTATCATGTGCCTGACATCACAGGCAGGCAGCAGGTGGATACTCACAAGCGCGTCATTGAGATGCTCGTGGTGAGTCTGGTGCTGTCTGTGCCATGGCAGTAGAGATGAGCACCGGGCGGGCCGGGCCCGGCCCGGGTCGGGCCCACCCCATGGCAGTACTATGCGTGCCCTATGTGTTACCAGGCACCTTATATCACGGGCAGGCAGCAGGTGGACACACACAAGCATATCGTTGAGATGCTGGTGGTGAGTCTGGTGCTGTATGTGTGGTTGGCGAATATACAGCCCTTCTATGCCATGTGCCATGTGCCAACCATGTGCCATGTGCCAACCATGTGCCATGTGCCAACCATGTGCCATGTGCGATGTGCCAACCATGTCTCTCCCACTCTCCCACCTCGCCATGCCTCCTCCTGTCTGCAGGAGAAGGGCCAGACGATGCAGCAGCAGATGGTGGCCATGGAGAAGCGAGCACTCACAGCCGAGGGGTGAGACGAGGGAGGGCAGAACGGTGGGAAGGTTTTTGGTGCGGTGGTAAGGTTTTTGGTGTGACACCAAGGTGTGATAGGGCTGGGAGAGCCAAAAAAGGCCTTGCAGATGGTGGTTATGGAGAAGACAACCAAGGGGTTAGATGACAAGTGACACGGTGGGAGGCGTTTGGTGCAGTACCAAGGTGTGAAATTGCAGGACAGGCAAAGGCAGCACAGCCATGCAGGTCCAGCAGCAAGGCAGCAACGCTGGTTCTGAAACGTCTGAGTGTTTGAGAGGTATGTGTGAGAGTCCTCAACACAGCAAATGGCAAAGTTCATGTTATTTCTATGATTATCCGCATAAATTATTCCTGATTTCCCCGCTCCCTCCCCTTCCTTCCCTCCCCCCAGCATGGCGCGGGCCTTTTTGGAGATCTCAGGGGCAGAGAAGGGCTACACGACGTTTGGGTCCGCAGTGGGGCTTGAATCCTCCTACCTGCCCTCCGGTGCTGACCTTGATGCACTCTCCCACTCGCCTCTACCGTCCCCAACCTCGTTAGTAGCATCCTCGTTATCATCAGTGGCATCGTCGTCAAGTACAGAGCAATTGTCATCAGCAGTAACTGTGGAGGGCAAGCCAAACTCATTACAAGCGTCGTTGTCTGGAGAAGGGAAGGGTGGCAGCAGACCTGCTGTGCCGAACACTACTGCTACACCTACTGTATAAATTATGCGTACCATAGTTTGCCATTGAATTACGGCAATATATATTTACTATGGTCAACAGTGATACAGACTACAATTAGCATAAGCATTGTAAAGCCTCAGTCTCAGCCTGCTGTTGGGCAAAGCGGGTTCACCGAATGGAGACGCGGGATTCCTTCTTCAGTGGCAGAAGCAGCAAGTGCAGCACAGCAAGTGAAGCTACCACATTGCGACTGTTGTGTGTGCGTGCGTGCGTGCGTGCGTGTGTGTGTGTGTGTCTGTGTGTAGCCACAAGTACTTTGGTGAATGGGCTATTGTGACAGGAAGTGACTAGAGGTTTATTAAATACAGCTAGCCGCAGAAGCAGCTGGAAAGATACACCTCCACTGTACAGTATCAATGACAAGTCAGTACAGTACAGTACATGCGTGTGCCTTCCTCCCTCCCTCCCTCCAAACCTCTGCACTGCGTTCCTCTACAGCAACTAGACGGGAAAGGTGCCCTTCTCCACTGCACAGTAATGACAAACACCCGTACTCCCTCCCTCCCTCCAAACCTCTGCACTGCGTCCCACAACTCCCTCTAAGCACATGTGCACAAGGTAAGCCAACCGCCTCGTCACGTACCATACTTCTCCCCTGCAGCCTGCACCAGTTTCACATGTACCTGACATTGAGCAATGGGGTTGACGCCTTCAGCAACCGTATCCCCACCCATGCTGCTACGGTATCAGCAACCGTATCCCTCCTCTCCTCCCAATGCTCCCACCAGAGCGAGCAACAGCTATCCGACAAGCACCTTGGCACAAGCCAGCAGAAATCACACGTCCACCTGGTTGCGCCTCACAATCGTATCCACCACATCCCCATGCACCTGCCATGCAAACGGCCTTATCACATGGGCCAAACTGCCCATACACATAAGCAGAACAGCTATCCATCAAGCACCTTGGCACGAGCCAATGCTTCGTCCACCCTCACTCCAGCAGCCTGCAGCAATCGCACATCCACCAGGTTGCGCCCCAGAATCGTATCCAACACCTCCCCATGCACATGCGACGCAAACGGCCTTGTCGCCTCCCACCCCGCCCTCACAGCATTCTCTAACGCCTCTCCCTCCCCCCGGCCTATCCTGAACCCCAGCGCTGCTTGTAACACGGTTATCACATCCCCCGCCATGTCGTATCGTGCGACAGCAACTGTCTGCTTCTGTGTTGCTACTGCTAACGGAGCTGCTGTAAGGGGGATGTTTAGGACCCGGGATACGGCCCGGGAGAGGCGGTTATCGGTGGTGGAATCTTCTTGATTGACAGGAAGAGACTGCAGGTGGTGTGTGAGAGCGTGTAGGAATTCCAAGTTAGAAATGCCTGCTGGCACGGGCATGCCGGGATAGAGGTTCTTGAACCAGGCAGGGGCGTTTTGGGGGTTGGCAGAGTAAGAGAGATAGTCGGTTGCGAGAGCGAGGGAGATGTGGTGGGGGAGGAGGAGGAAGGTGAGGTTGGAAGGGGAGGGGGGGAGGAGGAGGGGGAAGGAGGGGAGAGTGTAGTTGGGGCAGGAGGAGAGGGAGGAGCGGAGGGAGGCTAAGGCGGCAGGTACGGTGGCGAGGGGAGGTATGGCGAAGGCTCGGAAGGTTGTGGTTCGGGAGAAGTGGGAGCAGAGGAGAGCAGAGACCTGGCGCCACGGGGGAAGCTGCCAGGAAAGTGCATGGCAAGCAGGGGGGAAGAGCATGGGTGGGTGGGAAGAGAAGAGAGAGAGAGTGAGAGGAGAAATGAGCGTGTGGAAAGAAAGGAGAGAAGAGATAAAGGTGTTGTGCACGGTCATCTGACTGCCGCGATGTGCAGGTGGCCACTAAGTGTCATGACATGACAACCCAGCATCGGAGCCAGCATTTGACAGCTGTCACAAGTCACTGATTCGTTGTCATGGTGCACCGTTAGCGGCATTTCCCTTGCCACCCTTTCATTGTTGCCATGCCAATGGTGCAGGGACAGAGAATGAGACAAGAAGTAAATGCTCGTGGCAGCAGAGTGCGCTGCTTGTAAGGGCAGGGCAGCAGAGTGCGCTGCTTGTAAGGGCAGGGCAGCAGAGTGCGCTGCTTGTAAGGGCAGGGCAGCAGCAGGGGGTTGTGGTTCTTCGTATCTCACCTGGAGGATGGGAGGCTGAAGGAAGAGCGGCAGAGCAGCAGGGGAGCAGCGCACAATGCCCCTGACAGCGGGGAAACGGAAGCGAGGCGACACCACCCCCGTGATACTGGGGGCGGGATGGGCTGCCTGCATTGGCAGTGGTAGGCGCGCCTGGGCTAGGCGCGCAAAGTCGTCTGGCTGGCCGGAGAACATGAAGGGGAACAGATCCTGGTTTTGGAAGGGGGGAGGGGAGGAGGGGAGGAAGAGATGGAGGTGGAAGTAAGTAGGTTTCTGTCTGGAAAGGCAGCGGGAAGCAACCTGGCTGGGCTAGTCAAGCACAGTCGTGTGGTTGGCCGAGGAGCAGGAAGACGAAGAGAGTTTGATTCGAGAAGGGGGTATGGGGAGGGCGGGCGGAATGGGGAGGGTAGCGGCAGGCGGGACAGCGAGGGACACAAAAGTTGATGAAAGCATGAAAGCAGCTTTCGTTTCCCACTCACCCCATAAGTAGAGAACGGTCTATTGAGGCAGTTGGCACAGGGAGAGGCATCATAGCTGATGATATTGTAGTGAGCAGATAGTACTCACACTTGCTGCTACTCGTGTGCCTCCCTGTTGCCCTTACAATCTCCCCTCTCGTTCACCCTTGCACCTCTCAGCCCCACTCACCCCTACATAGAGAGCGAACCAGCGAGGCAATTTGCGGGGGGGAGGAGGGGGGACCCCAAAGTTGATGACATCGTAGTGAGCCCCCCCCAGCTGCTGCCCTTGTGCCTCTCTGCCGCCCTTATACCCTTCCAGCCCCGTTATACTCTGCCGCCCTTATACCCTTCCAGCCCCGTTATACTCTGCCGCCCTTATACCCCCTCCGTTTACCCTTCCAGCTCCGCCTCCCCAACGCACCCGGTACATGGAGAGCGGGCCAACAAGGCAGTTGGCAGGAGGGCGGACTCCAAAGCTGATCACATCGTAGTGAGTAAACGGGGCCCCTCCTGCTGCTGCCCTTCTAACGCTTCCTTTGCTACTGCATTTGACCTCACTCACTCACCCACCCACCCCACTTACCCCATAGGTAGACAGCGGTCCAATGAGGCAGTTGGCAGGGGGTCAAGCACCGAAGCGTATGACATCATAGTGAGCAAACAGCCCCTTCCATTGCTGCTGCATTTGACCTCACTCACCCACCCCCCCCACCTTCCTTAAAGGTAGAGAGCGGGCCAATGAGGCAGTTGGCAGGGGATGGAGCACCGAAGCGTATGACATCATAGTGGGTAAACAGACCCCCGCCTGCTGCTGCTGCCCTTGTAATGCTCCCTCCCACACAACCACCCCACTCACCCCATAAGTGGACAGCGGTCCAATAAGGCAGTTGGCAGGGGGAGGTACCCCGAAGTTGATGACATCGTAGTGAGCAAACAGTCCCCCGCCTGCTGCTGCCACGGCTAGCCAGCGAGTCACGATGGGCTGTGAACCGTGGAAAGGGAAGGGGAAAAATGGGAACAGGCAGGGGATTTTTTTGCTCTTACCTCCTGGTATTCAAAATGCCCTTTGATACCCTCCATCCCCACCCCCTACTTCCCCCCTCCCCACACCTTAGTTGGAATTGACGCTGGGACAAGCAAGCGTCCAGCGTTTTAACGTTGGACGGTGCCTGATTTTTTTTTTCGGGCAGCCCGAAATCGAAAATAAAATTCGGCCAAAAAAACACAATTCGGGAGTCCTCGCCGAAATTGCGACTCCAGATTTAACTCGACGAGACACAACACAGAAAAAGCACTTCAGCAAAATCCAACCCTGCCAGCCCTTTCCACCTCACTACATCTACATCACCCAACCAGAACACACGCATTTAGCCCACTCCCCAATTAAAGCTCAAGTCCCAAATTGCGGGCCGCGCGAGGCAAGTTTAGTAAGGTTGATCGAGTCCTGCTTTGCAGCTTTAGCCGGACGAATTGTGGTTACGAAATGTACGAAGCCATCTGATTGGCCAGAACATTTGAGTCAGCGAATGGAACAGGTGGTGCGGGAAACTGGCAAGAGTAATATTTGTGCAATATGGGACTCGCGCAACCAAACCTGAGCGACCCTAGGCTTTGCTGAGTCAGCGAATTTTGTTTTGAGTGTGGCGAGAAGCTGGGCGAAACCAAACCCCTACACCCCTCCAACACCTCGACTTTCCTACTCAGCTCCCCCACCACCCAAGGGTCAACTTTAGTAATCCTGAACAATTTGGGCCTTGAGCTTTAACTCGACTTCATTCTAGGGTTTCAACCAGCAACATTCTCCCGTTGCTAGCACAGAGCGCGATCTTAAAATAATGCGTTTAAGTCGAGCTTAGCCAACCGTCATGGCTGGTTTTTTCTGGCTGCCCGGAGGATTTTCTTCGCCTGCCCGTCAGAGCGTCAAAACCACCGTCAAACTCTCGGAGGGTTCCGTCCAGCGTAAAAAACGTAGCGTCAAAACGCTGGCTCCGTCAATTCCAACTAAGCCCCACACCACTGCCACCGACCCCGGCTTGAGCTTCACACTCCCCTCCCTCCCCCCATTACCCCCCCAATTCCCCCCTCCTTCCCCCCCAATTCCCCCCTCCTTCCCCCCCAATTCCCCCCTCCTTCCCCCCCATTCTCCCCTCCTTCCCCCCCATTCCCCCCTCCTTCCCCCCCATTAACCCCTCCTTCCCCCCCATTTCCCCCTCTACCCCCTCTTCCCCCCCTCCCCTTTCTCCCCCCCTTCTCCCCTCCTCTTTCCCTCCCCTTTCCCCCTCCACCTTCCCCCTACTTCCCCCTCACCTTCATTGCCAACCCCCCCGCCCCCTCCACTGCGTGTGTCAGCATCTCGTTGTATTGCCCATGCCCTTTCACGCTCCCCTCCCCAAACACCCTCCTTCCTACCCTCACTCCCTCTCCTCACCTTCATTGCCAACCCCCCCGCCCCCTCCACTGCTCGTGTCAACATCTCGTTATATTCTCCGTGTTCTTTTATGCTCTCCTCCCCTCGCAGCACCACGGGGACCCACCCCGCCTTGAGCCAACTCAGCTGCCACACGTGCAGCAGGCTGGAGCGGGGGGGGAAGGGAAATGAGGAATGGAAGAGTGTGTAGGAGGTGCAACAAATGGAACCAGCGAGAAAGAAAAAAGGGGCTACAAAATGGGATTCGCCATACGATGGGGGGCTAGACAATCACTACAAAAAGGGATGCGCCTCAGAAGCCATACAGTCACTCACACCATACAGTCACTCACTCACTCACACAGTCACTCACCTCGCCTCCTGCTCCACATCCCCCGCAACTTGACTCGGATCAAAGAAGGTAAACAACTTGCACTCTCCACCGCCACGCCTCCCACCCTCTCCCATCCCATTTTCCCTCTGTTCAACCTCTCTCTCCTCTCCTCCTCCTCTTCCTTCCCCCCCTTCTGCCCCAACATTTTTCCTTCCCTTGCCTCCCACTCCCCCCTTCACCTCCTCCCCTCCAGCTGCCCCCCACGAGCTCGAATCCCCGAAATCGTACTGGCCGTCCGAGCCTATCCCCAAGCCTGCACGTTCGGGCAGGAGGTTCGTCAGGGGGGCAAGGGGGGTACAGCAGGTTTGCGGCTGTCAGGTTCGGAACTTGCAGCGCCAGAAGAAACTATTAACGTGAGATGGCTTGTTGGTTGATTGAAACGCTTTGTTGTGAGAAACGACTTGGTGCCCAGGACAGCTCGGTGGGCGAGACGACTCGACAGATAAGCGGCTTTCCAAGAGCCCAGGGATGGTAGCGGTATGTAGCTATCTCTCTCAGCTTCAGTTTAATAACCTGAGGTTCACTGAGCTACCTCTCTGAGCTATCTCCCTCTGAAATGTGCGGTCTGTCCCGCTTGCCATCTGCTTCAGTTCAGGTGCATGCAGCTTCCTGGGAAGGGAAGGTGGTCACATGGGAGGTGGTCACATGGGAGGTGGTCACATGGGAGGTGGCGACAGGGAGGTGGTGACCTGGGTAGGCTGTATTTTTGGGAGGGCGGTAACCTGGGTAGGCTGTATTTTTGGGAGGGCGGTAACCTGGGTAGGCTGTAATTTTAAGAAGGTGGTAACCTGGGAAGCCGGTATCTGCTGATTGCTTGACGAAAGATAGATTCGGCCTTCTTGCCGCTCAACCTGCTTCTCCTCACCCCCTTCCCAGCATGCTTCTCCTCACCCCCTTCCCAGCATGCTTCTCCTCACCCCCTTCCCAGCATGCTTCCCGCCAACTGTCCTTCCAACCCCCTCCTCCTCACTTGCATCACTCTCCTTAGACCCACCCTACTCTCCTGCTACCTACACTCCTCTCCTCAACAAAACCTTTCACCTCATCCTTTCTTTTTCCCCCTCTTCCCCCCTCCCTCTCCCCCTCCTCCAGCTCTCACTGACTTTGCCCAATCCGCCTTCCCCTCCCATCCCTCGCTCACACGAAGCTACAAGGAAGCACCTGTCCGTGAAGCTACAAGGAAGCACCTGTCCGTGAAGCTACAAGGAAGCACCTGTCCGTGAAGCTACAAGGAAGCACCTGTCCGTGAAGCTACAAGGAAGCACCTGTCCGTGAAGCTACGAGGAAGCACCTGTCCGTGAAGCTACAAGGAAGCACCTGTCCGTGAAGCTACAAGGAAGCACCTGTCCATGAAGCTACAAGGAAGCACCTGTCCGTGAAGCCACGGCGCTCCTGCTTATGGCCGTGGCGAGTCTCAACTCAAGCAGCTGCCCTGCCACGTTCCGACGATTAAAGCGCCCTAAAACGAGGCTCTGCTCCTGCTGATGGAGGCTCCTCGAGCTGAGCTGGCACATTTCGCAGTTGCGATTTACACCCTGAATCCAAGATTAGACCTAGATCTGGATGGATCCAACTCTGCTTCTGAATGTGACTATCCTAATCTAAGCTAAAATAGATCTCGAATCTAAAAATGAGCTGAAGCAATCTCACTGAAGTAGGTATGAGATTGTGATTGCGTCAACATCTGCATCTGCTGCTCCGGCCACACGGCTCCCCGTCGATCCAAGCCCCCTATTTCCCTCTGCCTAAGCTACAGCTGGCGTGCATCAGTGCCCATTGCGTGCATCAGTGCCCATTGCGTGCATCAGTGCCCATTGCGTGCATCAGTGCCCATTGCGTGCATCAGTGCCCATTCATTCGCGGTGGCCCTTAAGTGAGAGTGCATCAACGACAACACCAGCAGCTGCGGGAGAGGCGGCGGCAGCAGAAGCAGCAGCAACCTCGAACATTGTCTCTTAAGGTCAATGCCTTTCATTGCGCCGAGTGCAACGGCTAAAACTCTCTCCCGAGCAATCAAATAGAATCAATAGACGAGACAGTTGCAGGTACACCTTCATCAAAGTTGTCAATAATACACCAATCGAAATTAAAAAGGTGGGAGGTAGCAGCAGCAGCGGCGGCGGCGGCGGCGGCAGCAGCAGCAGCAGCAGCTATGGCGGCGGGGGCAGCAGCCAAGCGTCTGCGGCCCCACCACGAGCCCCAAAGGCTCCCCCCACCCTTCCCACTCCCACCCACTCCCCCCACTCACTCCCTCCCCTCCTTCCCCTCCTTCCCCTCCTCTCAAGTTGAATCAAAATTCACCTTGGTGTTGTGAAACAAGGTGCCACCTGCTAGGAGGCAACAGCGTCAGCAACCAGGCGCCTATGGCCCCACCATGAGCCCCAGAAACCACCACCGCCACCGCCACCGCCCCTCCCACTCCCACCTGCTCCCCCCACTCCCTCCCCTCCCTTCTCCACCTCCTCCCCCTCCCCAGGCGCAGCAGAGAGGCTCTTGAGATCCGCGTCCTTCAAGAGGGAGTGCAGAGAGGGGATGGGCGTGGGCGGGGGTAGTGGCGCCCCTGCTGCCACGGCTGCTTCTATTGATGCTGCTGCTGCAGTGAGTGCTGCTGATGGTGGTGCTGCTGCTGAGAGGGGAAAGAGGAGAGGGTCCTCCCCTGTATGGCTCGCTGGCGTATCAGGCACTGCTAATGGTGCTGCTGCTCCTATTGTTGCTCCTGCGGCTGCTGGTGCGGCAGCTGCCGCCACCGATGGTGGGAACGACGGTGGGGATGCTAGTGCTCCTGCTGCTCCTGCTGGTGCTGCTGTTGCCGGTGCAGCTGGTGCAGCTGCAAGTCCCGAATTTGAAAGCTTTCCACCTGTTCCACCCGAACCTCCTGCCAAGCCTGGACCGTTAGGCCCGGCGGGAGCTTCGGCATCAGTCAGCCGCCAATACAGGTCACTTTCGCGCTGCGCCAGCTCAGCTTCTGCTGCATCCAGGCGACCTATGCTCTTCGTCTTATCCTCGTTAATAGTCTCCTCGAGATCCGCTAAAGACTGCTCCAATTCCTCCAGTGTAGCCTCTACCTTTACATTCTCCGATTTTCCAAACCCCTTTTTCAACTCGTCACCCTCATTCAAGCCCTTATCTTCCGCCTCTGCTCCCCACATTCCCTCTGCTCCATACTCGCTATAATCACGACCGTTAGTAGCACTCTCCGAAACACCAGCACGGGGAGAAGCGGCAGGCGCGGAGGCGGGAGGATCCCCGCGAAGAGCGGGCGAACGAGCTGACGTGGCTGCCGCAATAGGCGCCATAGCAGCCGAATCTGGATTTGCGGACGCGGCGAAACCAGGCGGCGACGGTGGTTGCGCTCCTGCTACAGCTGCTGCTGATACTTCCGGAGCAGATGCAGCACCGGCTGTAGCAGCGGCTGTAGCAGATGCTGCAGCAGCAGGCGCAGCGGCAGGTGTGGCGGCAGCTGTAGCGGCCGAGCTTGAGTTCGGATTCGCATAGAACGTGACTATATCGGCGGCAGAGTTTGGGTCTGTATCCGAACGAACTGTGACTGTATCGGGGGAAGGAGCGGTGGCGGAAGAGGGAGAAAAATCGGACGGCGGGGATTGAGCAGAGGAAAAGGGTTCGGCGGGATTCGAACCTGAGAGGGCCATCGAATTCGTCGACGCGGAGCCGTCCCCGCTATAAGACGATAGCCACCAGACGACGATAAGAAGCAGAGCCCCTGCGACGGCTACGAATCGCCAGTTCAGTCGCCTCGTGACAGGGGCGACATCGGACAGCTCCACGTCAGCGTGCCGATCGAAAGGCTGAAATCGACGGCCACGAAGCTCCCCGGTCGCGTGCGACTTGAGCGGCACGCGATCCTCGTCGTCCGCCATGGGCGTGCTTTTATCGAGGCGCCGATTAACGAATAAGATGGTTTCCTAATCTGCAGGCGCCGCCTAAGATCTAAAAATCGAATCTCCGTCTAAGAGGACGGCGAAATCAAACCGACAGAGCCAATTACGTGGTGGTACGGCCGGAGCGGCACGACCGACACGCGCGCCGCCTCGGTGATTTGCCGTGGAAAGTAAAAATCTTGCGAACAGTAATGCTGTTGTTTTAGATAGTGAAGAATGATCAGGCCGCGAAAATAACTAGTCTGAGAGGGGTGCGAAACGTGATGCTTCTCTCAATTCGTCAGCACTCGCGGAAATTCGCCAAAAGGGGAATTGGCTATTCTCGCTCAGAAATTTGGACGGTCGAAGTTACACCCTCGGAAATTCGCTGTCATCGATTACGTCCTAAACGCTAAACGCAGGAGTTTAGTGCGGTGGAGGATCGATTTTGCAAGATCGATCGCAGGATCAGCGTTGAGGGGACACGTCCTACACTGTTTTCGCTCTAATTCCGCGCACTCTGTCAGTTCATTCCGCGCTATGTTGAGGGAGTCCTAACACTGCCACTTTCCCTCAGCACATTCTTCCACATACACCACCAGCTAGGCTCCAGGCTCTCCTCGGGAAAAGGGTCATTTTTTCGGTCGCAAAATGACTACTGCTCACTTACATCGCGCCCCCACCGTCTTCCTCGCACCCCGCGCCCGTCAGCAGTCCCGCAATCCGCCCGCCTCCCCGCTCGCATGCGCAGCCCCCACCAGCATCCCAGTACCCCGCGGATCACGCGCTACTACGCATTTCCTTCCCGTCGAATCGCGCTCGCAGCGAACGGCCGCAACAGCTAGTCGGCCTTGCGCTGCGAGAGTCGCCGCGCCATCCGCGAACCCCGGAACGCGATGGGGTTCGTCGGCGACGGTGCTCCGTGCGACAGATGGCGACGGCGGAGGCGTCGCGCCGACCAGCAGCGAGTCGAGCGGATTCGATATACGACGCGTGGAGCAGTACACCGAGAGAGTAGGTCACGGGGTAGACTTAGCAGGGCCAAGGGAGCGATATGATTGGCCCAGTAACGGCGTAACGGAAGGGCGGACTCGGGGAAAGCGTCATGAATGCGTTTACAAGTAGAGTGGACTATAGCTCCTGTGGACTACCATAGGAGAGTAGACCTACCTGTGGACAGGGGGGCCTAAAGCATACATCACATGCACGGTGGACGTACCTGTGATAGCCTGGTAGAGGAGGTGCTACGAGTTTAGAGAAAGGGGCTCTGGGAACGGTGCCGCTGGGTGCACATGGGTGAGCTATGTGTGAGCCGTTAGATGCTGTGAGGCGTACGATGCTGTGAGCATTCGTATGCCAACAGCAGGCTTATCGTTGCTCTCGTGCCATGTGTATGTGTGTTCAAGTGCGAGCGTGCATGTGTATGTGTGTTCAAGTGCGAGCGTGCATGTGTATGTGTGTTCAAGTGCGAGCGTGCATGTGTATGTGTGTCTGAGCGTGTGTGTCTGAGAGTCCTGATGTGTGTCTGTGTGTGTCTGATAGTGAGTCCTGATGTGTGTCTGTGTGTGTCTGATAGTGAGTCCTGATGTGTGTCTGTGTGTGTCTGATAGTGAGTCCTGATGTGTGTCTGTGTGTGTCTGATAGTGAGTCCTGATGTGTGTCGGCATGAGCCTGGATTTGCTCGGATGTGTGTCGGCGCGTGTCTGAATATATGCATGCACACATGCATCACTGCGTCAAGAGAAGGAGGAGGTGCTGGTTCTCGCCGCGCAGGTGCATCTTCACGTGCTTGTTTAAATGTGAATCCCGATGTGTGTTGCCATGCCTGCATATGCACACATGTTTCACATACATCACATGCACGCGTATATGACATGCACGCATACATCACATGCATCGCATGCATCACTGCGCCAGTTGCCGGGGGAGGTGGTGGTTCTCAGCGCAGTGGTGGATGGGGAGGAGGACGAGGTGGTCGTCTTCAGGGTGAGTGACACCCACACTTGCCTTCAGGGTGAGTGACACCCACACTTACCACTCATCACTTACCACTCATCACTTACCACTCATCACTTACCACTCATCACTTACCCTCATCACTTACCACTCATCACTTACCACTCAGTGCTTACCACTCGATGCTTACCCTCAGGGTAACACCACCAGCACACATCACCAGCACACACCAGCAGCACACACCAGCAGCACACACCAGCAGCACACACCACCAGCACACACCACTAGCACACACCACCAGCACACACCACTAGCACACACCACTAGCACACATTACCAGCACACACCAGCAGCACTATCCACTTACCACTCTCGGGTGCTCAGAGCACAGGTGCATGGGGGAAAGGACCAGGTCGTCGTCTTCAGGGTACTCACGCCCCTGCTAACCACGCACCAGCGGTACAGCACTGCCACTCATCAGCAGTTGACGCAACAAGCAGGCAGTTAGCTATATATTTGTTGGCAACAGAGTGTTTGTCACATTCCCAGTTGCAGATTCGTTTCAAATCCGCCAGCAACGCGGAACTGCGATGCGACAGCTAGCGATCGTGGTATGGTGGTTTCTATGATTGCACTGCACGTGGTTTGTATGATTGCACTAGCAGCATTCCTCTCCATCCGTGATGCTGAAATGAACTTTCGGCCTTAATTCACGTTCTGAAATCCCTCATATATTTCTGTCCTCAAACCTTGGGCCAAGTTCCCCTGAAGTCTCCTCCCTATCCTTTATTCCCAGCCTTTAACCACAAGCCATCACTGCTTGCACCCAAGGCCAATCGTGCTCCACTTCTTGAACCAGCACTCTTTCCCCGATGCCCTCCCACTCCCTCCTCGACTTCGGCTTTCCTCACCACCATTTATTCCTCCCCACCCACATATCCTCTATCGTCTTGGTGCTCCACACCCAGCCGCCACTCCCATTCCTCCTCCCCTCTGCTCATCCTGTGCCCCATTCACTCGCCTCTCATTTCAGCCCCCCCAGGACCTCTCCTCTCCCGTGCCGACCATGCCCTCAGACCCCTCAGACCCAGTTGAGCTCAAACCCCCTCATTCTCATTCTCTCCCTCCCTACAATAACCATAATTTATTCCCCCGTCTCTGCCCCCTCCGCCCCCATCCCCCTCCCTCCCCCAGGGTTTTTCCTCATCGCTGGTGCTGCCCACGCCCTCAGACCCCTCAGACCGAGTGCTGAGCACAACCCCCCCGCTCTCTCCCTCCTTCCATCCTCCCTAATCTCTTCCCCCTCTCTCTGCCCCCCTCGCCCACAACCCCTTGCCCTCCCTCAGGGTTTCTCCTCGTCACTGGTCCTGCCCACGCCCTCAGACCCCTCAGACCCGGTGCTGCCTGCCTCTGCTGCGATCAGCTCAGTGGATCGAGTGAGGGATCCATTTAACCCCGCTCACATGGAGTACATTCAGCAGGGCATGCGCTGGGAGGAGTTTGAGCAGCTGCTGGAAGGCATGCACCTCTGACTTCTCATGTAATGCATATAAATGAATGGAAACTATGCTCATTGTAAGGTTTACTTTTGCAGAACAAAAATGTGAACAATTTTGCACACGTGGTCCAAATATTATTTTGAAAGGAAAACGATGACAGTTGTAGTCTACGATGGTTATTTCAATTTCTTCTCTTATTTCAGCATGAATTTGCATGCCAAGTAAAATTTTCCAGACTTTCCCAAAACCAATATGAGGGTAGATGGGTAGCAAAATCAAAACTTCTTA